CTGTAAGTATTTGTATTTGTTATAATTGATCTATTACATGCATAATGTCTAGCATTAACAGTATGTTCTAGTGAGGATGTAAACAAGGATGTAAACAATGGGAAATGCTGTTGGCATCGCTTACAGTTTAGCTACAATTTTATATTCATCAAACTGCTGGAAACAGCCACAAACTTCAGCAGCGCTGCAGTGTTTCTCTTTACAGGGGCTTTCCCTGCATTCTACACCTTCAATGACGAACTCGCAAAAGATATGTGAACGTTTCATATTACTTACACACGTTTATTCTGAGTATACTGTAAGTGAAAGACACTTGTCAGATTTTATTTTAAAGTATTTACACAACGCAAAAACGGCGCAGAGGAACTAGGAAATATGATCTTGATAATGAAAGTGTAATGTGTCATTTTAGCACTCCTTTTTTAAACTGATTTTATGTAGTTGAATAACAAAACATAGGTGTCACAAGGGAGATGTTGACAAAAGGAAGTGCGGATCCAAATGCAGGTTTATTAAACAGAATGGTCAGACAGACATCAGAGGCAAACGGTTGTATGCAAGGAATCCAAAGACATGGTCGAAAACCAGGCGAATGGTCAATACAGGCAGGCAGCAGACAGCGTAAACAAAGAAACTAGGCTAGGGTCAAAAACATGGCAGGACAATGCAAGAAAAATGCCTCATAATGTTAACTTGACAGATGAACAAGACTCTGCAATGAGGGTGTTACAGTGAGCTGTATATGTGAGTGTAATCAGGCCATGAGCACATTCATCTGTGTGAGTCTAATCAATGGGAAACTGGAACAGGTGTGAGTGTGTGATGCATGACTGGATTTTGTAGTCCATATACTGGCGGATTTGTAGTTTGTGATCTGTGAGTTTACCAGCGATCTGTAAGGATTAGATCACTGTGATTGTGACAATGAGTAAACAGCGCTCTTCCGCCTAGCCAGCTTTACTAAAGTGAAGTTTTTTCAAAAATGAATACAGATCAGTGACAATTTGTGACACACTCCCACTTTAATGTTACTTTGCATATTGTGTCTGAAATAGCGCGTAAGAATGACTTCAAAACAAAATTAGAACTATTTAATGGACTGTAAACAATGTTGTATTTTATAGTCGATGGCTGATTATTAGATTTCAATATTTAGAGTTTGCAAACAATACTTTTCTGAAATTATATTACTAAGAAAAAAGTTCATATGTGCGAATATAAATCCTGTAGACCTGTCCACAACTTCACTTGACAAAGTGCATGTCTCCATACAGTTTTCTACCTGATGAATGACATATAGTAATCTAGTGTTATAAGGTTATCTATGGTCATCTATTCGGTAAGCTTTCATGACTTCAGGATGCGTGGCTTTGGACTGCAGGGGAGGGATGTGCATTTTTAAAGTTATCTTGCTAACATGAGCATTTTGGCAGGTGCACCTACTGCACCTTTAATTAAATCATTCCAGCATATCAATAAAACATAGTGTTTACAGGAAAACTGTATTAAGTGTTCAGGCATTTATACGTATGTCACAAGCCACAAACTGTCATTATTTACTAAACACACACAGATAAGAAAAGCACTGAAATGGGATGGACATTTCTGTTTTTGAATCTGACCCTTCGGAATATGCAACTGTAGGAGTTTCTTGGTCAGTTGCAAACTTTATTAAAGGGAAGTATATGAAAGAATCCTGCAACATGATTTACTAACATTTGCTCTCCTCAAATTAGGACACAGTTATTTTAAAAAAGCATAATGTTGCGCTTGAAATGGCAGTATTGTTATTGCCAGGAGGAGCCACTGGAGAGAACAGGACATCTGTGGTAGAAGGTGGAAGACTTTTCCCACACATATATTTTTTTATCTGGAATGCCAGAGGAACTTTGGGCGACTTTCAGCTAGCTAAGTGACGGCAACTGTTGGCGTCCAACACAACAAAGAATCCTTCAACTTTGTTTTAATGAAGAACAACTTTTGTGAGCAACAGCCAATACAAGCAGTAGATCTCACGTGCCCCTCTGCCAGTTCCTCCACCAGCTGGTTGTATTCTCCATGCTGTAGACCTACACCGACCAACGTTTGCAGCAGATAAATAGCCGCAATGACAGAGCACACATTTTTTTTCTTGTTTATCTTTATAAAAAGCATTTTATGCACTGAATCCATTTATATTTAGTGTTTAACCACCACAATGTCCATTTTCATTATCAGTGAATATAGTCACAAGTGTTATCTAAGCAAAACTTACTTCTCCTTGTGCCAGCTGTCAAAATGTACATCTTGTGGACTATCTGACATAAAGTACTGATCAAACGTAAAAAGAAGTGTGAGGTAAGCGCATGGAAACTGAATAGTTCTCAAGTCTTTCATCTTTGCATGTAGAATGTTTTAGTGATTGTCTTGTGGGCACTCCCGAGCAGGCCTACATCCTAAGATGTTAATATTAGGTTAGATTTAGGTTGTGACGTCAGGTGAAAAAAATTCAATGTCTAGTGCCTAAGGACAATGTTATTTTGACGTCCAATAATGACATCAAATGACACTGATATTTTTTTTTTTTAAATAAGGTGGTGTTGGAAAGTGACCAAAGTCTAACCTTGAGACAACATCTTAATCCAACGTCATAGTGACGTAAAATACTGACAATTATTTATCAGGTATGGCAACCAAAATGCAAATCCAGTGACATGCATCTAAACAGTCTCTTGGTCAATGTGTGTAAATGCTTCCAAACAGTTTGCTGCAATTATAAAGCGCCCATTTCTTGAGGTAGCTCATTATGAGGCAATATACCTTTTGTGTGCGATTGGATTGGAGAGGAATCACAGGACAGATTTTTCTAATCCCCATAAAAAAAAAAAAAAGTAGTGACAATAGGTTGAAAGAAAGTAGTGGAGTAAAAGTACCAAAAATGAACTAAAAATGTACTCAAGGAAGAGTAGTATTTATCACATTTATGTATAAAACTACTTTGTAAATTACAATTTCTGATTGAAAACTACTCATTTACAGTAGTTTGAGTATTTGTAATTAGTTACTTTACACCACTGGGTTTGAGTTCTTTTTACAGTGCATACTGGGTGCAACTGCATTGTAAAAAGTTCTTTAGTTAAATCAAATTAACTTTTCTAGTAATCTTAACTTACATCAATCAAACTGTAGCGTACAGTCCACAGATAAAATTTCTTATGGATTTTATCACGGTCTGGTTTTGGTCAACAGAAGGTTTTACGACTCCTAGCTCCAAGAAGTCTGGATTTTCGTGACAGCTTAAGTTGTTCAGGGGGGACTGGAGAGATAAGCAAGAAAAGCTTCAAAGACATTCCTGCCCAAATACATACACACACACACACACACACACATACACACACACACACACACACACACACACACACACACACACACACACACACACACACACACACACACACACACACGAGGCTGTTCTGACAGAAAGAAAATGCACTCAGAAATCCTGAAACAGCACAAAACTAAAGTGTTATGTTTTGTAAACTTTGTACCTCATTTCTGAGTTTTCTTACCTGTGTAACCTCTCTTATAACCTGTATGCCTGTGCCTTTTAGGCCTTTTTGAAGCATAAATATTATGAGGATGTGAAAAATTATGTCGATGTACTTTTAAAACCCCCATGTTTGGTACCGATGGGTTTCTGCTGACATTTTACAGCACATGATGCATATAGCAAGATCATAACTAGCATTGCTTTATTCTTTAATCCCCTGTATTAAATGCCTGTCCGCATGCTTTGGGCGGACACTCAAATTTGCATACGAGGAGCCTCGAGACAAAGAAAGGGTTCGCGCGCAAACTTTCCCCTGAAATCATTGGTCAGAATGCTGTACGGGTTGTCACGTGACCCTCAGGTATAAGCACACTTCCCCCCAAACATCTGGGCAGAAAGAGAACGTCCTAAGAAGAACATCATTGTCGGTGGCCTTCGGGCCACGCGGCTTACATACGCCGCATGGACTTTCCCGCCACGTTTCTTTATTTTCCGACAAAAGAAAACTCAGTTTAAAGTTTGCGATCGTGTTCGTCCGAACTGCATTACAAACTCCACGCATCCAGAAGGACATCAAAAGGAGTTTCATCAGGAAAAGACCCGCATAAAGAGAGAGATCCCAGGCATTAAGTCCAGGTACCTTTAGTTATGCGATTAAGCTGTGCCCCTTTTAGCAAAAAGGTGTGTTTTATAATCTCGGTGGTCCTTAATGGTGCGGGTGGAACTGAAAGTTTTGTCACTCTTTTACCTGAAATCTATATTTCCTAGCTTTACTATGTCTCTTTGCTGTTACATGTTCTATAGACCCGATATCTCCAAGTGGTTTACCTTTGTTTTGTGTTTAATGTATGTTTGTGCGTTTGTTTGTTCGTTACGTCTGACTAGTCAATAAATTCCATTTCTAATCAAATGAATTGTATTGTTTGCCTCACGAGAAAATGTCACTGAAATACAGATTACCCTGCCTAGCTATGATAAGTTGTTTAAAACTTTTGAATGATTAATCTACTTCACAAGAAGTAGCAATTAAATTCCCTTTTTCTAAATGAATAGATTACCGTGTCTGCTCGGAAGAGCGGCGGCTCTGCTTGTGTTCGTTTGATCAAATTAACAATAAATTGATCCGGAATATTAATGATTAATAATAATTCGTTATTGTTGATAATTAATATTCATAATCTGGGAATCCGCTCGGCCGCGCGAGCATGATCATTTACAATCATATGTTTGTTTGACCAAACTGACTGAAGCTTAAGCCGGAATATTAATAATTAAGAATAAACCGTTATTGTTGATTATTAATATTCATAAAATGAGCTAATTTCATGTTACAAAACAGACTAAAATAAGTTAAAGCAACATAAAATATATGATGTACTGACTTTTGTCATACATTTTTTGTTTTCAGTGTGTTACACGTTAAAAACCCCTGGTTTATTATATAAATAAATAGTAAATTTAAGATCCGTACCAACACGTTGCCCATCTTTCCTGATGCTCTCATAGTCATGCCAGTCTCTTCTCCTCAATCCGTCTGTCCAGGTATAAATGTGACCGTCATTTAAGCCCAGTGGGAAGCCCTGATGAGAAAGCGAAACATAAAACAAAAAAAATCAAGGTAAAACTTCCACACAGAATGCATTTGAAAATCAATTTAGATCTGAAATGCATTAAAAACACAATGAAAAACAACAGTAACAACATCATTATCCGAGGCAATTTAACTTTAATATGAAACGTCTCCAAGAACTCCCCGAGGTAACTTGCTCACGCCTGAATTGCCTTATAATGCAATGATTAAAACTTCAATCAAAGCAAACACACATTAAATAGTCTGAAATTACAGTAGCCAGAAACTTAAATAACCAGAAAGCTTTCCGATAGCTCTGATCCACAAACAAAAGGCAGGATTATGCTTTAGATTTGATCAACTGCATTGAAAAAGTCATTTTTTCGCGCTTATACATAAACATACATTGTGATCTCTTCGGATGTGCATGGTGTGCATTTCCCGGCTGGACATCCATCTAGGATTTAAGGGTTTGTTAAGCTCGGTGGAGCAGAATTTGTGCCAAACATCTTTTCCATCATTGCCAGCACAGCATGTTAAGGTTTTTTTTTTTTTTTTTTTTTTGCCTGGTGGACCCTTCTAATTTGGGAATGAAAAAGCATCTCCAAATGATCATGTGGAGTGATAAGAGGTGTGCGGTGGACAGTGCTTGTTTAAGTGCATCAATGTGCTCTTCTGTTGTTTCCCCACCTCTTCTATTTGCGCAACAGGCGTTTACGGGATGTAAAAAGTGTAGCACTAGAAGGTCTAAGAGGCCCCATTTGATCTACAATTTACCCATTCTCACAGATAGACCCCTGATAACAGCTCTTTTCATCGGCGGCGGGTGCTAATGCAGTGGGGATACTGGAGCACGAATAGTTTTGATGAAAGCTTTGAGAGATGGATTCTGGATGCTGTGCTTGGGAAATATGCGCAGAATACGTCTGCATGCCTTTTAGTGCTTTGTCTTTGCGCAGGCATCACCATGGAAATGCTTAGGATGAGCAAATTAGAAATGGCAGAGGCTATTCAGTCAAAATTAATCCGATGAGAAAAACACAGAGATTTTTTTTTTTTGTGAAATGATTTAGAGTGCTACTTAGCAGAGTGGATTATGGGAGGCAGGTGCTCGGATTCCAGTAGCAGCTCTGAGGATTTGGTGCGGAGTTCTTTTTTTACACTGTGTTTGTGAATAATTTAAAAACAAAAGCATTGCTTTATTAGGGCCTCTGAGAGTTTCTGTAGGAAAAAAAAAAAAAAACTTAAGAATGCAAGCACATTCCAGCCTTGCAGTTGGGAATTTCACAAAGAATGTGACACCGACTTAACAATCGCAAAAGAGAAAACTGCTGGAAGCAATGTTGGATATCACTCATCCACAGGGACATGCACGCTTCTGATGACAAGACTTTGTGGCAGAGCACAGGTGGAGCTTGCTGAGGTTATTATTGTATTGGTTGACTAAAGTTTGCTTTAAGTAATTTACATGTAGGCCTTGTCCCAAATGACTGTATTGGAAATATGTATATTTGCTTCCATAACTGGAAATATGGGACTATATTTTGCTGCCCATTTCAGTTGACACAATTTGACACAAAAATTAACTTTGCAGTTTTTTTCAAACTACTTATATAAAATGAGTTGACAACACAATTCTTGAGGGCTTTTTGAGGAACATCTTAATTGTTTTATGTTTAATCTACTTAAATCTGTAAATACAAATAAGTCAACTTAATTAAATCATGTTGCCGCAACACAAATTGATTGTGTGAAACAGCATTTTTAACAGCGCAGAGCGCAATAAGCTATCCCATTTTTACAATATTTTCCTCCAGATTCAGATTTATGAAATGAGAGGTTTATTTATTATCTGAATCTGAATCTTTTAGTTTGAAAAACTATATTCTCTTGGTTACATTTCGATCATTTGAGTGTCAAAATGTAACCCACAAGCTAGCAAACTGGTTAGTAGTCTAAGAAACACATTACCATGTAGGTCTTGTCCCAAATGATTGTATTAGAAATTCATATATTTGCTTCCATTTCAGCATTACCGGGAATACAGGACTTTATTTTGCTGGCCATTTCAGATGACACAAGCTATACCATTTTTACCCTATTTTACTCCAGATACAGGTTTAAACCAGTGTACTTCAACCCCCAAATCATTCAATACTTCTATTTTATAATCTGAATGATCTTTTATTTTGAAAAATCTTTTATTCTGAAAAGAAATATCTTCTCTTGGTTACGTTTCGTTCACTTGAGTGACAAAATTAGTCCTACAAGCTAGCAAAATGACTAGGCTAAGAAACAGATGTCTTAGGAAAGTTTCTTTGCCAAAGAGGAAAAGGCCCAGTGAAGGACCCACAAACTGCCAGGGAATGGATCCGCAACCCATTTCTCAACAAATCAGGTGAATCCAGCATGTATGTGCTATGTGTATATTTATTTATTCAGTTCTCATTCAGTTATTCACCGGAAGTCACCACAGCGGAATGAACCGCCAACTTATCAAGCATATGTTTTACACAGCCGATGTCCTTCCAGCTGCAACCCAACACTGGAAAACACCCATACACACTCTTTCACACACATAAACTATGGCCAATTTAGCTTAATCAATTCACCTATAGCGCATGTCTTTGGACTGTTGAGGAAACCAGAACACCTGTATGAAACCTGCACAAACATGGAAGAACAGGCAAACTCCACACAGAAATGTCAACTGACCCAGCCGGAGCTCGAACCAGTGATCTTCTTGCTGTGAGGCGATCGTACTACCCACTGTGCCACCGTGATGGCATGATAATGACACAAATCATAAAAATAAAGCTTCTTTTTTTTGGTCTCTTGTCAAGACATGATCTAAAATATATCTAAAACAGTAGGGATTATGCCCAGGGAAGGTTGTATAACTTTTATTTTTATCCATGATCTTTCTTTCTCTCTCTCAGATTTCACTCCCCGGGGTATCTGTCATCAGGTACTTCACTCAGGACATGTGTTAGGGCTTCCCATACCGTAATACACCTAAAACACAGATTGCTTAAGACTCGTCAATTGCAGGGAAGCATTTTCTTTCGTCAACCGCTGGGAAAGAGTTAAGCACATCATAATAGACTACCTGCAGGGGCGGACTGGCCATCTGGCAATTCTGGCAATTGCCAGGAGGGCTGGACCATTCTTTAAATGTGGGCCGGTCAGCTATTTTATTTATTTATTTATTTTTTGTTATATGTACTGTTTTACATGCAGGCAGCTTTTATCTCTTTCAAGATATGGGTATTATGATTATGATGATGATGATGATGATGATGATAATACTAATAATAATAATAATAATAATAAATGTTAAGCATTGGCCCAATCAAACAATGATCGGCTGGTTTCAAGATGGGCTGAACCAATTAGAGGTTCCGCAGGCATAATCAAAATCTGTCAAGAATGTCAAATAAACAGTAAGTGCAACACAAGCTAATTGTCAGAGATGGACCGTAAAAAAGAAAAAGTGGTGCCGAAAAGCTCAAAGAAAGCACAAAAAAAATGTCTTTAAAATCAGACGCTGCCAACTGCATAAAATTAACTGAAATAGTGTCGAAAGGGCACAGTGCAGGGGAAGGTTGTTATTTCGAGCCTCAGCTGAGTTAGTTGGTGTTTCTGTGTGGAGTTTGCATGTTCTCGTGGGTTTCCTCCTGGTTTCACTGACAAGTCTAAACACATGTGCTATAGGTGAATTGGGTAGGCTTAATTGTCCGTAGTGCATGTAGTTGAATGTGTGTGTGTGTGTGTGTGTAGGGGTTTCCTAGTGGGTTGCAGCTTAGAGGGCATCTACTGCGTAAAACATATGCTGGATAAGTTGGCGGTTCATTCCGCTGTGGCGATCCCAGATTAATAAAGGGACTAAGCCGACAAGAAAATGAATGAATGAAATGATTGCATGTTTAAATTTGTTATAAATTAGTTGTTATTGTTCCAGTCACATACATTAAATGTTTAAATATCTATTAAATATGGTAGTGCTTATATTATTTCACCATCTGTACACCAATATATGTAGTAAATGTGCGTGTCTGTGTATGGGGCTGTGTCGGTGTGGTAATGTGGCTACAGTGCCAGGGCTGATTTTTGGTCCCAGTCCGCCCCTGACTACCTGTGAGTGAGCCATAGGTGAAGACATGGAGGCTGAATGAATCCAAATGCTGGAGATTTATTAAACAAACAGCGTACATCAAACAAAGGCAGATTATAATTAATAAATCAGGAAAAAATCAAGCAAACAAAGAGGCAGTCCGAAAAAGCAAGCAAGGCAGAATGCAAAATCCAAAAAGCAGTAGTCAAAAAGGCAGGCAATAAGGTCATAACACAATGGCAAACACAACAGTACGGAAGCATTTTGAAAGGCCATGAAACTGGCAATACTTTGCAGAAAATAGACATAAACAGTAGGGATGGCTGACGTTTCAACATAGTGTCGAGATCCCGAAGCGCAAGTGTTTTAAAATACTGCACCGAAGCATAATCCAAAACATCCAAGTCAAGTGACTAAAGCGATTCAAAGCATCGATCAGTTTAGAAGCGTTTCGAGAGCTGGCGAATCTGCATGTAACTGCCAGGGTCAGAAACAAATCCTGTCTCATATGGCCTAGTGGACTGTGTGTGTGCACGGTGTTAATATGCTTCCAATGACTTTTGGGTTCAAATCCCTACTTGTACAAATACTCCAAAATCATGGTTTTATGTATTTTAATCATGTTTCTGTTTTATGGTGCAGCCTAAATAGGATACAGCTGCGGATACGCCATATAGCATCATTTTTGAAAAACTGTAAAACAATAATAAATATTTTTACAGTACTGTGATGGTTGGGTTTGGGTAGACATTAATGAAATGTAATAAATGGGTAATTTAATGAATAAAATAAATAATTCTTGATAACTTCTGGCCACAACTGTGTCTGATCTATCAACAACCCTGTTTTAAGACCAAAACAAGACATATTTATTCACAAAGTGTTTATTCGAATGT